CATCAAAGTATTCTGCGTTATTTTTGCAAAACAAGATTTTTCACAGTCCATGATCAATCAATTAATCGATCATCCTTGTATCAATAAAATGATCGATCATCATAGTCTTTGTATCATTTCTCATATCATGTGTTCGATCAAAGCCTTACTTTGGTATTTAGTTTTCACAATCATTTATTGATCACTTAATCGATTAATTATTAATTGATCAATTAATCGAAATCAACTCTTTTTTATGCACCATAGTCAAAGTATTCCTTGAACTACTTTTCAATCACTTGTTTGATCAACCCTTTATTGAAGAAGTGGTCAATCATCATAGCTTGAAAATGGAATTCACTCTACCTTCGCTTAATCGATAATATGATCGATCAAATATTTTTTGATCATATGTTCAATCAATGCATCATTTCGTTTCTCAAACAGATCTTCACGATGATTTTTCATAATTTTCATTTTATCTTCAAGCTTTTCTCATCTTCTTTTGTCATATAATTCTCTTTTGAAAAGATATGAAGGCAAACAAAATTTGAAAGAAATAAACCATGCACAAAATTTAAATATACTTCACTTACAAAGATCACTGTATTTTCACTTCACCATTTATCTATCACTTGTTCTATCATTGTTTGTTTCATAAATTACTCGATAAATGTTTGCATCTGTTAAGTCCATTTCTCTTGTAATAATCAATAATATGATTGATTAATGTATTATCGATCAAGACATCGATCAAGTAAGTTTGTATTACTTTTTAGTATCTGATGATTGATTCCATGTTTTCCCAACTGTTATATCAATGTCAAGAATCATTACTTCTTCTGTTACTCATTCCTATTTTATTGAAGAAGGAAACTTACTTGTGCCAAGAGACTTCTGCAGATTATAAATCGTAACGGTTATTTTATAGCCCATAACCTACTGTGTCAGAAGCATTAATGGAGAACTACTGTTGTAACTGCCGAACACGCGCAAGCGATCTTTCAATGGCTAAAAGCTCTTCAGTCTAACAAATAACTAAAATACTCTAACTATAAAAGGCACGAAGAGCATTGAATTAGGAATTGAATACGTGAGCTACCGTCTGCTAAAAATCTACTAGTGCATTTAATACTCTATTTTACCGAACTTTAGTGTTTATCATTCATATACTCTGTGAGAGAGTTTGACATATCTTTCTTTACTTAATTTGAAGAGTAACTCAAGAGTGTGGACTCTTGAGGGGATTGTAACCTTACCGGTAGTAAGGGGGAGTGATTGAAGGATTCAATTATTGTATTGAAGCATGAAGAGCCTGTTTAATATTTGGGTTATAGTGGAAATCTCAAAGGCGCTCTAAGGACTGGAAGTAGGTCAAGCGGTTGAGACCAAACTAGTATAAACTCTATGTCTTCATTCTTCGGTGAAACCTTCCAAACTCATCTCCTCTATTTTTATCTATTCAATTATTTGATTTAGTTAAATTTTTTATACATCACCTAATTTACCCCTCTCTTGGGTGAAGCTGCTGCTAACATTCTGCTACTAAGATTTCTATGAAATCTCATCCCCTCAATGTATCAACAATCAATAGAAACCTCAAGTGGTGTTACCAAAGGCAAGGAGAAAGGGAAAGAAACCATATTAGAAGAGGGCTGAACTTAATGCCATTGGAATTATGTTTTGTAACTATTATGAGCTGTTATGTATTATTGTAAACTATGTTGGAATATTGTATCAAAGATTAAAAATGCTTTACATGTGAGCAATTGATTAAGGAATCATGTTTAGGTATGTTTTATGTTATTGGAAAGGTTATATGGAAGAAAAAGGAAAGAAAAAGGCAAGAATTGCAAAAAAGGGATAAAAGTTGACTTTTTAAGGGTCAAGTTTGACCAATGAAATTTTGTGCAATTGGATGAGTTGTGGGCTGAAATTTTAAGGCTTATAGATCATATTTTTAGCTTTAAAATAAGTGGTATTTCATTAAATTTGGATTTTTATACAGAAAGTTATGCCCTTCCAAAATTGGGCATAAATCTTGAAAAATTGAAAAATGACCAAACAAACAATACCACTTTGAATAAAATCTGGGATTAATGTATGAGTTCTAGATACCGATGAGCATTTTTCATTTAAAGAGCATATCAAGAACTCTCTATAGAACTTAGAACCATCTCATTTCAATTTTTCTAGAATTAGTTATGAGTTTTTAAAGTTTGGCCTTTGTAAAAATTATAATAAATAGTAACTTGAATTTAAGAAATTTTAAAGTTCAACTTTTTCCAACTTAAGGCCATAACAAATTATCCAAAATGGTTCCAACTAAGATAATATGTGGTTGATCGATGTGCCAGACTGTTGCCTTTCGGATCGTCAAGAAAGAGAGTTGCACCAAATAAAATACAACATAGGATGCAACCAGTTGTTCTTCTCGAGGAGCTTGTTATTAGAAATCCTAGTCTAACTTGGTTTTAAAAAACATTGTAAAAAAGGGGGTTTTAGTTGTTTTAAAAGTGGTGCAACAAATGTAAAGTGCAGAAAGTTAACTATTTTTTTGGTATTTTAAATGAATGAAGAAATATTTTAGATTAAAAGGGAATTATGGTTAAACAGTCTCTTGATGATGAAAACTCAGCTATCACTGCTCTTTAGAATGATTGGGAGTTTGGAAAACCTCTAAGTCTGAAGTTTGACAATTTATAAATAAGCAAGTGAAATTTGAGTGTTTAAGTGTAAATGAGCAAGTGAAATTTGACAATTTATAACAAAAGTTTATGGATTTACAACATAGATTCGGCTATTCACAAGAAACATAAGAAGTTCACAGCCCAAAATATAAGTGTTTGAGTGTAAATAAACAAGTGAAATTTAGCTATTTACAACCTAAATTCAGTGATTCATAAGAAACATAAATATTACAAAACTAATAAGAGAATTCACAACTTCAAATATAAGTATTCATGTTTCTTATGAATCATTGAATCTTGGTTGCAAATATCTTAATTGTTGTTGTAAATCACTAAATTTCACTTGTTCATTCATACTTGCATTTGGAGTTATAAATTCCATTATATTATTTGTAAATTACCAATTTTTTGTTGTAAATTACTGAATTTCACTTGTTCACTTACACTTGGACACTTACGTTTGTTTTGTTATATATATTTTTATTTACATCATATAACTAAATGGTTTGTTTGGCTTGGTGGTCATATTATTTTTGGTGTGCCAAGGGGTCATGGGTTCAAACCTCCCCTTGGTCCCCTTATTTTAAAAGAAAACTTTAGGCCACCGGAGCTGTAGTAGTGGCCACTAGAGCTCCAACGTCCGATGGCGACCACTTGAGCACCAGTAGTCGAACATCCGACCTTCAATGGCCGACAAGGAACAAAAAACCGAATTGGTCAATGAACCAGTTGATGTACTAGTTCAAGGGTTAATGGGTCAGATCGGAGTTACAGTGGGTTAAACCGTAATAATTAAAATAATGTAATTTAATTAAAATATGTAAAAAAAATTCCTATTCTAATTATTAAAAAAATACTATTTAATCTTTCTATTTTCTTTTTTTTCCTCTTTATTCTCTCTTTTTTTCATAAATTCACAGCCCATTAAATTTTACCTATTAGTTCTACTTTTTCTCTTACCAAGTTTACATTTTTATTTTTGTTTCTCATTCTCTCTCCTTTTTTTTCTGCATAAGCATGTGAAAGGCTTTCCTTTTTCCCATCCTTTCCTCCTTCCACGTTGATCTATCAAATCATGTCATTTGCCTATTTGACTTTCATTTTTCTCTCTCTGCACTTCTGCAGAATCTCTTATCATTTTTCCTTGGCCTGAGGCTCCCCTGTCCCCTCTCTTTCACGTTACTTTCAACCAACACATGGTTTTTTCTTCCCTTTCTTTCTCCTTTCCTTCCAACAACATGAGCTGCGTCTTAGAAGAGAAATACCGAGATGAAGATCCAGCAGCAATAACCATGCAGTAAGAGACAATGATGCAGCAAGAAACAATGAGTGAAAACAATGACCACGAGAACCAGCGAAGTTCGATTAGAAGACTGAGCATAGAATCGGCGGACAGGTAAACAAATATGGAGTTTCTTTTCTTCTTTTCATTTCTTTCTCCAGATCATATTAGAGATCGATCAGATTTGAGTTTTTCTTTGTTTTGTTTTTTTTTTTCAATGACAAAGCGACGTTGTTTTACACTGGAAGGAGGGGCAAAATCACTAAACTGGCTGACCCACTCTAACTGGCGGTTTATCAAGTTTAACACCAATTTTGACTGATTTAACCTGTTCAATACTAGTTTGAATAGTACCTGGTTCACCTAGCAAACCAGACCGGACACCAGACCAATTCACCAGTTTTCTGGTCAAGCCAGGTGGTCTGGTCTGTTTCTTCTTCCATGGTGGCTGGAACTCTGATGACCATTAATATTTATTTTTTTAAAAAAACAAAAATGAGAGGTATTATCGTAATTTTACTCCTAATTTTAATTTCAGTTTGGTCCTTTGGTTCTGTAGTGACATTTCAGAATTTTTTGGGGGCTGTTTGAAATTAATTCCCACCTGCAGTCCTTAATCAAAATTTTCCCTTTAATCATTTTAAAAAAATTAAACACAGTGTATATTTACAACAAGAATTTATGAATTTACAACAACAATATGAGTTTCACCCAAAAACTGGAGGATGGAGTGATGTTTCCAAACAGGAGCTTTAGTAAGCAATTCATCGGACTATTTTCTCTAAGTTTCAAACGTAATAAACTTCAAGGACAACAATGTCTTTTTGCTCCAAAATTTAATTTAATTTTACACCTATGAGATTGCAATGAAGTTTTAGATCTTTTTGGGGCATTTTGAAATAAATTGGCTACATTGATCCTTATTGGGATTCTTCCTTTTATATCTGCAACTTAAAACGGGTCTCCTTCGGGGACGTCCGATAAAAACGGGTCTCCTTAGTCTGTTTAGTTTAAGAAACCATTTCATAATGTCACATATTCAAGGCTCTTTTTGTGATTTCCCGATTCCATATTTCCGTCTCTCTCTTCCCCAGATGAAACGCGAACTGCCAGGAAATGGAAGGCAAAGGAGAGCAAGATTTTCGAGGGTCTTCGAATAGTTCCGAAAATCCAATTTCGGAACCACCCATCGATCCACTGTCAACTTGTCCCGAACTGACATTCAATCCTTCTGCTGAAGATCATGGTGAATCAACAGTCTCTTTCAACCAGAGTGAAATTTTCAGAGCTATTCAAGTTGTCGAGAGAGATTCCTTAGCCATTGCCGAGAGTTTCGTTTCCCTCTTCGCTTCCCTTCGCTTGGCTCTCTCTGAGGTTCACCCAATTTCTCTTTAATTTCCCTTGGAATGGTTTCTGCCATACTGCGAAGAAGTGAGAAATTGATATGTTTCGATTAAGTAACAAGTTTAGTTATAAGCTACATTTGTGCATTGCTTTTTCTGCTGGGACAGTTGGTCTGCCTGTTCGTTACCTGGATTCCAATGCCTATATGCCACATGCAATTGATTTAATTTAGTAATCAGTAATTGTTGCTTATATTTGGAGTTGCTTTTGCTCAAAAATATTATTTTCCGATACAAATTGCAAAATTACAGGTCACTGGCAGCTCAGTTGATCATATGCAATGCTTTTGTGATGCTACAGGTCGTCTTCAGGAATCTGGTAAAAATCCATGTGAAGTAGAACATTTTGAAATATATTGTACAATTTAATACGAGTACTATGTGATAATTTGGGGATTTTCTTGCTCGAGTATTGTATCTGCATTCTAGATTTCTAGTTCCCTATACTCTGTGCGAAATATAAAACAAAACATTCACTGCATATATTATGTGATAGAGGCCCCTTGTTATGTGAAAAGTAGAAAATATACGGATAATGTCTTTTATCCGGTGTTGGCAGTCTGCATAAGCTTATATTTTGAAAATTTACGGAAAGGAGAATACCTATACTGATTGTGATAGGAACCAGCGTCCACTCTTTGTATATTCTAGGAAGAAAAATGGGAAGAAGGGGTAGTTTTATGACTAGTTACTTCCTATGTTTTAAGTGGTAGTTATATGTAGTTATTTCTTTTTATGTCTTTTATTACTATTCAGTCATTAGGACTTATCTGTTAGTTATTGATCAGTTATGAGACTTAGTATAAAAGCCTAGTATGTAAGAACTACCATTATGAATGAAGTATTATTCAGTAAACACTCTTCCCCTATCTCTTCCCCTAGAACTTCAGATTCTGATTCTAGTTCCTCATCCTTTCTTTTCCTCTCCTTCTAAATTCTCTGTTCCCCTAACCGGTACCTAACAATTTGGCATCAGAGCCTTTTGATCTGGGTTGTGGTGACAGTATGGTTAATACCCACAAGAAGAATGATTCTACCATTCCTCCTCTTCTCCCAACTCCAACACCAGAAGAGTCGCCAGAAACACCCTCACAGGAACCATAATATCCTACTTCTCAGCATCAAGCTTCTCAATAATTGTCTATAATTGTTGCTAAACTTAATCAGATGGATGTTGAGATTTCTGAATTAAGGAAACAGAAAGTGCCCGAGGCTATAGCAGCAAAGTCCACACATCTTGAGAGAACATTCCAAGCAGAGAATGATGATTTTGAAGTTGAGACTCCTTGGTGGAGCAAGAATCCAAATAAGCGGCCCTATACTAAAGTAGAGTTTACCAACTATGATGGTGGAGACCCTAGAGGCTAGATACTTAAGGCAGAAAAATATTTCAGGTATTATCAAACACCTAAAGATATTAAAGTGGAGGTGGCAGCCATGAACTTAGAAGGGGATGCTCTTGATGTGTTCAAGTGGGTCTTTTCTGGACGAACAATTAATTACTGGGAGGAATTAATTCAAGTCCTTTAAGAGCATTTTAGTCCTGCTGAATTTCAAAATCTTGATGAATATCTTTGTAGCATTAAACAGATGGGTACTGTTCATGATTACAGACAGGAGTTTATTCGTAGAGCATCACGGGTACGAGGTTGGCTTGAACACTGTTTACTTGCAGTGTTTATTAATGGTTTAAAGGAGGAATTGCAATCTGACGTTAAAATCCAGAAACCAAGAACGGTTTACAAGGCCTCGAGTCTGGCTCTTGAATTTGAGACAAAATTATTAATGCAGAATTCTACTCGTCCTAATCAGCGTTCAAATTGGACACATGGATTTGAAAATAAAAATAATTTTTTTCAGAGGCCACTATCCAGCACCACTTCCTCCACTTCTACGGTAGTTATTCCACATAGTGGAGTGTAAAAGCCAACTGCTTTGGCAGTTACCACTACTCCACTCAATTTGGACATGGAGAAGTAGTTATGCAGGAACAAGGGACTTTGTTTTAAATGTGGAGAGAAATTCTCTCCGGGTCGCAGATGCAAAACGTCCTCTTTCAAACTGATGGAAATTACTGAAGACATGGAAGAAAATGCTGTTAAGCAAGAAGAGGCGAATAATTCCAGTGAAGCTATTGTTGCAGAGATTTCTCTTCATGCTATTCTGGGTGGAACAGCTACCACTACCATGAAGTTTTGTGGTATTGTTCTATCTAACCCTGTCCTTATCTTAGTTGACAATGTGTCTACCCACAACTTCATCTCTTCTCAACTAGTAGCAGAATTGAAGATTCCCGTAGAACTTGTTCCACCTTTTGGTGTGTAGATTGGAAATGGAAACATCATTATGTGTAAATCTGTTTGTAACCAACTAGAAGTTCAAGTCCAAAGCCTCACAATCTGTGAAGAATTTTTTCCTTTCACTCTCGGGCGTATTGACATGGTTCCAGGAATAAAATGGCTGGCCTCACTCAACACTGTCGAAGCTAATTGGCAGAAAATGTATATGATTTTCTGGATGGATGGAAAGAAGTACAAGTTACAGGGGAATCTTCCTCAGGTGGTGTTTGTGGCAACTATGAATAGTATGTCAAGTGAAAATTTTGATCATTGGAATTACCAGCATTTACATCAGCTTTTGTAGCGATATTCTGGGGTTTTTGAGGAACCTAAATCTCTTCCTCCTACTCGTGATCACTGCCATGCAATTCCATTTATCCTTGCTGTTGTACCACCCAACATTTGTCCTTATAGGTACCCACATTGCCAGAAGGATGAAATAGAAAAGCAAGTGGTGGATTTGTTAAGCAAAGGATTTATTCAACCTAGTGTGAGTCCTTTTGCTAGTCCTATGCTTTTGGTGCCTAAAAAAGATTCTACTTGGCGGTTTTGTGTGGATTACAAGGAACTAAACAAAATTACAGTACCAGATAAGTATCCAATGCCTAATATTGGTGAGTTGATTGATAAATTGCATGGAGCTACTTATTTTTCTAAAATAGACCTGCGTTCTGGTTATCATCAAATCAGGATTCTTGACAATGTTGTCCCTAAAACTGCATTTAGGACTCATTCTGGACATTATGAGTTTATTGTGATGCCTTTTGGACTCTCTAATGCCCCCTCTACATTTCAAGCCACCATGAATGATTTGTTCAGGCCTTTTCTTAGAAAATTTTTGTTGGTATTTTTTGATGACATTCTTGTCTATTGTGGCAGTTTTGAGCAACACATGGCCCGTTTGAGAATTGTTTTCCACACTCTACAATAGCATGAGTTCTTTTTTAATCCTAAGAAGTGTAATTTTGCTTAATCTGAAATTGCATTCTTGGGACATGTCATCTCTTGGGCAGGAGTTGCTGTTGATGCTGAAAAGATTGCTGCAGTAGTCAATTGGCTTTTACCAAACAATATTTTAGAATTGAGAGGGTTTCTAGGCCTAACGGGGTATTATAGGCACTTTGTGAGGCACTATGGACAAATTGCTAAACCACTTACAGATATGACTAAGCGTGATGCCTTCCACTGGACTTTACAAAGATGTTCATAGTGGAATGTGATGTCTCTTCAACTAGGTTAGGAGCTGTTCTGTAGCAAAATGGCCACCCAATTGCTTACTATAGCAAATGGCTTTCTCCAACTAAGTGACATAAGTCTGCATACTATAGGGAATTGCTTGCGTTGGTTTCAGCTTTAGAGAAGTGGAAGCATTATTTAATGGGGTAGAAGTTTGAAGTCTATTCGGACCATTTTCCTTTTAAATATCTGTTGGAGCAATGATTGTCTACACTTGATCAACAATGCCTTATTTTGAAGTTGCTCCCTTTTGACTTCAAAATAGTGCATAAGACAGGCTCATCAAATCAGGGGGCAGATGCACTTTCTTGTTGTCCCCATTTTGCAGATTTCTTTGCTATTTCCATTCAACATGCCACTAACTTTGATACACTCTCCACGGATTTGCTACAGAACCAATACACTGCCACAATTGTTTGCTCCTTGCAATGTGATTCCAAATCAGTCCCTCATTTTTCTCTAGTGGATGGCAAGTTGTTTTATAAGAATTGAGTGGTCATACCTGCTCCATCTGAATTGACTACCAAATTAATCTCTGAAGCTCATTCCTCGCCTACTGGAGGTCATGGAGGTCACGTCAAAACTCTAAAAAGGCTTCAACAATACTACTTTTGGAAAAACATGAAAAGAGGTTAAAAAATTTGTGCAGAATTGTTTATCTTGCCGGTGGAATAAGTACCTTCCACAAGCTCCTGGTGGTCTTTTATAGCCTTCAAAAATTCTTGAACAAATTTGGGAGGGGATTTCTTTGGACTTCATCATTGGATTACCAAAATCTAACGGTTGGGAGTCTATCCTAGTGGTGGTTGACCGCCTTAGCAAGTATGCTCTTTTCATCGGCTTGCCAAGATCATATATGGCAAAATTTGTAGCCCATGTGTTTTGCAAAGTTGTTGCTAAATTACATGGGTTCTCATCTTCAATTGTGTCAGATAGGGACCCCATCTTTCTGAGTTTCTTTTGGCAAGAATTATTGCAGTTGAGTGGCACTAAATTGAGGATGAGTACTTCCTATTATCCCCAAAGTGATAGGCAGATAGAAGTGGTGACTAGGTGTCTGGAAACCTACTTGAGGTGCTTTTCTATTGATCATCCTAAGACTTGGAGCAGCTACTTGCATTGGGCTGAGTTTTCCCACAACACGGGGTTCCATTATGCTTTTGGTCATTCACCTTTTAAGTTGATTTATGGTCATGACCCCCCCGGCTCTTTTACCTTTTTTTAAAGGTGATACTCAATTAGTTGAGCTTGAGGACTATTTTGAGGAGAGGGATGCTATTGTTACAGCTCTTTAAGATAATTTGATTGTGGCTCAAACAAGGATGAAATGCTTGCTGATTCTAAGCGTAGAGAAGTGGAATTTCAGTCTGGAGATATGGTCTATCTGAAACTGTAGCCTTACAGGCAACTTTCATTGACCAGAAGCAAATTTCAGAAACTCTCTCCTCATCATTGTGGACCATATCCTATTGTGAGGAGAGTTGGAGCTGTGGCATATGAGTTAGACTTACCACCAGGGGTCTAAAGTGCATCCCATTTTTTATGTTTCCTTGCTCAAACCGGCCCATGGACAGCCTACTCCGTCTTCTCTTCCACCCTTGCTGATGAATGATGAATGGGACTTCAAATTGGAACCAGAACAGGTACTGCAAAGTAGGCTCACGAAGAAAGAAGGAGAATTAATTGTTGAGCTCCTTATCAAGTGGAAAAATCACCCTATAGAGGAGGCTAGTTGGGAGACTTATGATGTGGTAGCAGTATGGTTCCCTGTTGTCAGCCTTGAGAACAAGGCTGTTTTCCAGGAAGGGAGTAATGATAGGAACCAGCATCCACTCTTAGTATATTCTAGGAATAAAAATGTGAAGAAGGGGTAGTTTTATGAATAGTTATTTCCTATGTTTTAAGTGGTAGTTATATGCAGTTATTTCTTTTTATGTCTTTTATTACTACTCAGTCATTAGGTCTTATCTGTTAGTTATTGATCAGTTATGAGGCTTAGTATAAAAGCCTAGGATGTAAGAACTACCATTACGAATGAAGTATTATTCAGTAAACACTCTTCCCCTATCTCTTTACCTAGAACTTCAGATTCTGGTTCTAGTTCCTCATCCTTTCTTTTCCTCTCCTTCTAAATTCTCCGTTCCCCTAACCGGTACCTAACAGATTGTCAGTTAACTAGAGTTTTTTTTATTACTCCCACAAATCTTTCTAAGCACACATTTATCTTCATGGTTTGCAGTTCTTGAAGCAACAACCAAGGGGAACCGTTATATAAATTCATGTCTCAGGTACCCTCTTGATATCTTGATTGTCTCCATATTTAATGGATATTCTGGCTTGCAAGTGTCCAAGAGCAAGCAGACTTGTTGAATTTGATAAATGTCTTGGCTACTATGTGATGAAGAACAGATATGAACAGAGGAAGGAAATAGAATGAGTGAGAAACACAAACTGAGGGGGAAGGGGGAGTAGAAAGATCTTTGGGAGGTAGGGGGAAAGGAAGAGAGAATGTGAGGGGGCAGAGAATTGAGGGAAAGTGAGTTTAGAGAGAAAATACTACTGATCAATATTCCTCAAATCTAAGGTCTCCTTCAATAGAATTGGCAAGGGCTAAGGGCTCAATAACTCTCACCAACTTAAAAAATAAAAACTTCAATTAATTGAAGAAAATTATTTAAATTTAAAACATTAATTTATAATTCTAATCCTAAGTGGAATCTTATTTCCCATATCCATAATTCCTTTCCAAATAATTTGTGTATGGTCTAATCTCTTATTCTTTCATCACTGTGCTTCTTAAAATCTGTGTTTTATTTCATTGTTTCAAACAGACATCGACAAATCTTAGACCTGCTTCTGGTTTGCTGTTAGTTATCTTGTTTGACATGAAACAGCAAATAAGCTTATTTCTGTGCTTTTTTTATTGTTTTTTTGGTGATAGATAGACCAAAGTGTTTTAGGAAAGGCCCAAAAAATGAAGCTTCCTATTGAATGAGGAGGATAGCTCCTAACCTCAATTTCTTGGTTGCAGATTGAACGAGGAGATGAAGAGCATTGATGGTCTTGGCTCTCAACTGTATCCAATGGTTTTACTTTTTGTTTACTAATCCCCCCCCCCCCTCCTTTACACATGTTGGTAAAATAATGATTCATACCTCAATTTTTATTGATATGGTCAATTTTATTATTCTTCGTAGAATACAAGTTGGCTATAGACTTAGTAGGAATTTCTTTGAAGTGTTAGATATCTCTTGTAATGCCTTTCTTATCACTTTGAATACTTGACTCTTTGAAAGAAAATTTCTACGAAGGAATGTGGATGCTTTGGACTTAGCTGTTAACAAGCTTCTTCATTCTCCATAGAATGTGGATGCTTTGGACTTAGCTGTTAACAAGCTTCTTCATTCTGCATAACAATAGAATTCAATATACTCGAGGTTGCTATCCTGTTTTTCTTTTTGGAGGTTTTTGGTTTTGTGTGTGTGTGTGTGTTTTGGAGTTGGGGGATGGGAACGGCAGGGGAAACTTCCATCGTGTGTGTGTAAGTGCTTTGCGCAATATGCTGTCAATCTGTGTTTAATACTCTTGCTTCATTGTTTTAAACTTGCAGAATGACCTTGGCTTATTTTAGTGACTTCAAATATAAAATTTAACCTGACCCAGACGAAATGTAAAATTTAATTTCAATCTTCTTGTTTGTCGTTCATGGTTGATCTGATAATGTGCACCATAAGTTCATCCAATGAGTGGGGGGTTGGCATCCAAAATGCAAACATTTTCAATCATCTGATTGATCTGATAATGTGAAGTGAGAGGCTGGAAAAATAACCTGATATAAGGGATTTCGATATGTAGACGTGCAGAAATGGCCATAAGCTTAGGTCATTTTTCTAACCACTCCAACGCTGCCTTGTTCCTGGTGGGGGAATGGAAGCCTGTCACCATTCCCTTCTCTCCTTTGTGGTTGTACTTATCATGGTTAAATTGTTAATGGCTAGAGAGGTTATTTAACGACGATTGTTTTTTCTTGGTAAATTGTGCGAATTTTTTTTCTTATGCATGTGAAATTGTGTTCTTTGCAAGGAAAAATACCAGAGTCAACTGGTTGGTTCAAACTGAAAGTAGGTGAACTTGTCAGTGATTCGGTTTGGGTGTTAAACTGGCCAAGAGTTGAACAGGTATCAAATTGGTCAAATCGAGGCAAACAGGTGAAACTGGTAAAAACTAGTGTGAACCGATTTGGATAATTGTTACTATTGGTTCTATTTTTTCTCATTTACCTCCTAATATTTTACTCTCTATAGATTTAAATGAATTTTAATAATGATTTCGATATCAATTATTATTAATTTTAGTTATTGATGAATCTTAAAGATCAAAATTTTTAATATTGTTGTACTTTGTTATTGTTACAATCAAAAAATTGTTATATTTCTTTGTATTTTGTTATTAGTAATTATTAATGTTTTTATATTTTGTTATTTTCAATTAAATGATATTATTTTAATATAACTTATTTGATCCCAAGTTGATTTCGATCTGACTAACTTACCTTTAAACCATTAGCTTAATCGGTTTAGTATTCAGACTGGTTTTTTGTTCTTTGGTTCTTTGCTATAAAGTGAAACTTTCGGATTCCCTTGTTCAGCTGCGATCAAATTGTATTAGGTTACTAAGTCATGGAACTGGGATAGAGAATAGAAGCTTCTTTCTTCTAAAGCTTCGTGGCATCTAGATTGAATTAAAGTAAAGGATGAACAGTTTTGAAGGTGAAAAATGTCAAAATGGCACCGCAAAGGAAGCATGAAAATTGGGAGAATTTTCATTACAAGGCCACAAAAGCAATTGGGAAATTTGGTTAAAAGTCTCTATTTGGAAACTTAATTGACTAAAACGATCAAAATTTGAGCGAGAGTAATTATGACTTGGGAGTGTAACTTCTTTTCTGTTGTGTGTAATATATCATTAAAGATGTGCAACATATTATCAATAATATGTAACAATTATCAATTTAATAGTCGTTTGCAAATAGTGGAAGATATATTACATATTACAGAAGAAAAGTTATACTCACAAATCATAGTTGCACGTGCTTAAATCCAGGTCTTTTTAACCAATAAAGTTTTTATGCAGTGATTTTTTTACCAAATTTCCTAAACCAATGTCATTAAAGGAATTTTGAATTTACCAAAGGAAATAAAAGACCAAACCGGCTAGTTCAACTGAAAAATCAGTAAACAAGTCGGTGGTTTAGTTTGGTTTGGTTGTTGAACTGATCAAATCGAGATGAACTGATAAAAACTGATTTGGATGATTATGTTGCTATTGGTCTTAATTTTTTTCATTTAGCTCCTAATATTTTATTTACTATAAATTTGAATGAATTTGAATGAAAATTTTGATATCAGTGATTATTAATTTTAGTTATTGATGAATCTTAAAGATCAAAATTCTTAATATTATTGTATTTTATTATTGTTACAATCAAACTATTGTTATATTTTCTTGTATTTTATTATTAGTAATTATTAATGTTGTATTTTGTTATTTTTAATTAAATTATATTATTTTAATATGACTGATTTGATTCCGAGTTGGTTGAACTCTTGAACTGCTACTTTAACTGGTTTAGTATTTGATCCAATTTTTTATTCTTTGAAATTTATGCGACACAAAATGAAAACAAGTTTCAAAGGGAAAAAGACTTTGTTGTCTCTTATGTTAGAAATGTCTGAGAGTAAGAGAAGCCATATTTGTATAAACTTCAATCCAATTTTTATTCTCACAGTTTGCAGATCGTTGGTACCCACTTTGTACAAGTAAAACGTGGTTTCCAAGTTGTGAGGTGCAATAAAGGACTTGCACTGGGAAACTTTTAAGGCTTAGCATGGGCAAGCCCTAGACTATTAAAGGCGTGAGCAACCATTTTCCCTTGGCATTTTAGAGCCTGGGTTTCCAACTTTATGATCATATGTGAATTAAATTTTCCCTTGCAGATCGTTGGCACCCACTTTGTACAAGTAAAACGTGGTTTCCAAGTTGTGAGGTGCAATAAAGGACTTGCACTGGGTAACTTTTAAGGCTTAGCATGGGCAAGCCCTAGACTATTAAAGGCGTGAGCAACCATTTTCCCTTGGCATTTTAGAGCCTGGGTTTCCAACTTTATGATCATATGTGAATTAAATTTTGCCTCATTTTACAATAAAATAAATAAATTAAATATTTAAAAAATCAGAAATGACTAGTTGAGAATGATAAGTAATGTTGCTGTAAAATTATTAACGCATGAAATACGAATAAAAAAATTTACATCAATTCATCATACTCTCTATAAATTGAGGAAAATTAAAACCCTTTTCGAAAAATTGCAAATTAATTAATTAGTATATATCAGCAACCTTATCAGTAAATAGTGGAAAACAAAAATATTTGAGCACCGTAAAAAAAAAAAAAACTAATAATAAACTAAGGCTAAACTTACATATTCCAAATCAAAAGTGCAAATAGGTACATTTTTATCTTTTAAGTTTTTAATTCAAGGATTTAATAGGCATTACCATGGTGGAGGGGTATTGCTTAGTCCTTGGTAATCCTCAATGCCTCACACCAAACATTGCACTTTGGCCCAATCTTTTAGTCCAATCCCATTTACTCCCACTCAATCCCACCTACCAAACATGAACTTGTCCGTTTGTTATGAGGGAAATGGAAAGGGAAAAAAATTTTAATTAACTCAATTTGAAAAAAAAAATTTTAAGAATTGGGTTAAAATTTTTTTAACTAATTTTACTTACTTTTCTATTTTACTTATTCTCTTTATCAAAATCTTATAACTCTATTTCTTCAATTTTTTAAATTGAACTCATTAAAATTTTTCCTCTTCTCTCCTGTCCTCTCCTCCCCTCCAATTCCCAGGTACCAAGCATAGCGTAAGGTATCAACAAAGATAGGTTTGGTTTCATAAGTTGATGGTAAACATGTATACTACTAGGGAAATTAATTAGAATCTTTAGTATATTGACAAGTTAATTTAAGGAAATTGACAAGTACAATGAGGATACTGACAAGTTTGGTTGATTTAACAAGTTGATGGTAAATTAAAATGTATACTTTTTTGACAACTTAGAAAGATTAACACGTAATATTAGTGTATTGACCAGTTAATTTAGAGAAATTAACCAGAATCGTTAATTAATTGACATGTTAACTTAAGACAATTAAGCAGTACATATAGGATATTGAGAAGTGTGGGGTTAACTTAATAAGATGATGGTAGATAACTTGTACGATTTGTAATATATTAATTAATGTAGTTAATGATATTCTTGCTGGCTTAATTAGTGTAGTTAATGATATCCCTGCTGGGAAAAAATGATATTCTTATTGTTATTTTGTGAATGGGTTATAAGACGGTGATGAAGATAAATGAGTAACAAGCAAAATATATCAACCTCTTACTGTTTAAACTAAATTATAGAGATCTACTTTTTATTTTAAAAACTTATATCAACCTCCCTTAAAATCAAAATATATATATTAGAAAAATCTCTTTTTTAATTTTAAGGTTCAACTTTCATTCAACCAACAATTTGTTATGAAGCTGTTAATATTTTGAGATACTTAACTTTTGTCTAAATTTAATAAAAACATTAAAAAGATCATTAATAAATATTAATGTTAAAAAATAAATTACAGATTGAGTATAACGAGGGATAAAGTAATAAACAAGATTTATTTTAATATAAATTTTACTTAAAAAATATAATTCAAGAAAATTTTCAGAATACTCTTTAACAATGTTAATGGCCTAGACTAAAATATACATTTTCAAATTTTAACTTTCGGTGAACTGGGAATAGAGATGAGTCTTGCACGCAAGATATAAGAGGCTAGACTTAGATAGAGCACGATCCCCTTTTGATTTGGTTTAATCTTGAAACTTATGCCAGTAGAATACTCAGCATTAATAAAGCATTTACAACTATGGACCACTTTAAGGCAAAAACGACTTTTGAATCAATTTGAATAAAAGTCAAATTTATAGTTTTGTTAATATATTTTCTTCTGAAACAAATACTTCTCTAATTTTGTTATTATCAAAATATTATGCCTAACAACATAATCATATATAATTGAAGAGCTTGATGTAATGAATATAGGAAGATTCATCTAAGTATTTTTCTTATAAAATAATGGGAAATTAAATAAATAAACTATATTTTGTTGTTATTTTAATTTAATTAATTAGAGTTACTTTTCATCTTGGTGTTTGTTCCTTCATTTATTCTAGACTAAAATACTTTAACCACCCTTCTATTTTATCTTAATTATACAAATCTTCCTTTTATTTGACTCTCTCAATAACCTCAAAGTCAAAAATGACTCTAAGCCTATCCAAGTCACACTTTTGCATTCACATTTTAATTTCTCTTAGGTGAGTCAAGTTTACTGAAAATTTGCTCCCAGTCAAATCCGACTTGAATCTACAAGTTTTGCACTGAAAAATTATTTCTCGATTTTTGAAAATACTCTTAAAAATGTTTTAAAAAGAGTGTGGTGTCCAAAAATTATTTTAGAATATATTGTCGCACTATTTATAGGACATCAATGAAATATTTGAAATATAATAGGAAGACTAAGAGTACTCCTATCAAAAAGCATTAAATGTAGTTGACTACTTCAAACTCAAGTCTCAATAGAAAGTTTTATTTAATGCCTTGGCCTACTAAAGACACAAGCTTCAATGAAAAAAATTCTTTGTATCTAACGGACAATTTCATAGCTACGCTACAAATAGAAAAAATCACATTATTGAATGGTAGAGATTACAAGAGAAGAGTACAATAACATATAGAAGGAACATTCTCAAGCACTCATTTATTGCAAATATTCTTTGAAAGATTTATTGAGTTTTGGTATTTAGTATTTGCTTTTTTAAGAGAGGGAAACACTTTGGTGTTATAAATTTTCATTTCTTGCTTAGAGTCATGGGATTCTATGTGAGATATACTCTTACAAGTTGTAAAAGGGAGTGACTGTCTCAAGTGTTGAGGTATTTGATATGCCGTGACACTAAGAACCCACTGAGTCTTGGGGATTATAGTTGAAAATCTCATAGGCATTTTGGAGACTAGACAGATTAAATGGTAGACCAAATCAGGATAAATTACTATATGCATTTTCTCTTTCTCTTCCTTCTAACGGCAGGTGATATTTTCTTCACTTTACTTTATTTATATTAATCAGTATTAATAGCTTTATTATTCACAAATTTTTTATAACACCCAATTTATCCTCATCTTAGGTGTTCATCGATATTATCTGCCCTATTTTTTCATGATTAAAAATATGACACATAA